ATTGCAGGAAATAAAAGCTACAGTCAAAATTTTTTTGGCTCTCTCCTCAATCCAAATTTAAATATGGCATCTAAAGTAGTAGTACCGGAGTGTGATGCGAACGATAGCTGTAATGGAAGAATTTATCGATAGAACTAACCAGTCCAGCTTTCTTATCACCCGTACACTTTCGTCTTTACACTCGATGACATGGAATGAGTAGTTTAGCTTCCCTCATCTATTCCTAACTCGGCTTTTTGTCTCGGCTCTCCACTTATAAAGTTGTAATTGTGCTCCGTGAAACTTCTTTAATCTCTGCAATTAATTTAGTTTGTGGAATTTCGATGCATTTACTGCCTAAATTTAGATTAATTATTTCATTTAATAAATAAACAAAGAAAAATATATTCTTGGAAGTCAGCCATTAATACTTCGCTGCTTTTTCCTTCAAAGTAATGCCAAATAATAATAAAATCAAATTTCACCGAAATACGATTAATTATAGAAAACTTTAAGCAGAAAAATATTCATTTAGTTGTGTAAATGTTATATATAAAACTGCAATTTAAGCAATTTTATTTACAGATGTTTTTTTTCCAGTATTTGGAATGCTCGAAAAATAAAATTATCTCGTAATAAAATTACTTTATATAAGTGACACTTTCGAATTTTTCGTAAGTCAAATTATTTACACAAATAAACTACTGTATTTAACTATAAAATATAAAACTGATAATGCAAAATCACGTATTATTTGATGAAGGAGAATAAAGTTACATAATTTCAAAATACGTTGAACAATTTTTAAATATTTAATTAAAATGTATTTCATTATTTATTTAAAGATAATAAATAATAAGAACATTCAGACGTGAATATTTTAAAAATCCTTTCTCAGATTTTAATACCTCTGCTTCTAAAGAAAATAACACTTACTAGTGACATTTTTATTAAAGAAGAATAAACAGTAAATAATGCGTAACCGAGTTACACGATTTAATTCATAAACCTTTTTGCGTTACGGTTTTATAACTAAGAAGAAATTTTAAGGGGGGAATTGTCGAATTGAAATCAGTTGTTTTGCAACTTTATCCTCTTTTTTTTTTGAATACTCGAAGGGTATTTTCGATATTTCTGATTTGGTTTTATTTACTCGGTGCGGAGGAGCCTGACCGCATTCTTCGACCACAGCTATGTGGTTTATATAAGTAGAGTATACCGAAATGATTTATTGTATTTAGTTGTGTTCAAGTATAGCCGAAACATGACATTGTTCTCTCGGGCTATTTTAGTTACTGTCATTTGAATAGCGCTTTCTTTTTTATATTTAGGATGCGATATCAAATTAAACGGAATAATTTTTTTTTGTTGGACTCCTCTTTGTATCTAAATTTTAATTTGTTCTTGTATTTCGTGATACAGGTGCCGTTGGTTGTGGAAAATTCAATCGCATCTGGTAATTTGGTAAGAGATATTTGTAGATTTATAAGAGCGTAAATTCAGTTACAAATATCGTTTACAATAAAAGCTCCAGATGGTGAGTGATTCTATTGTTCGATACGAAACGTCTTTATAGTACTTGTTCTTCCTTTCCGACTATTTCTCGAAGATAATCGGCCGGAGGTCATATTTACTACATCCCGAAGACTTACTGAAGCAAACCACCCCTTGACCCCCTTCAATACAAATTCTATTCTTCCGGTGGAAACTTGGTCCCCTGCATTGGATACTTTAATATCGGGCTTAGTACCGGGGTCGTGGGAATTAATGTGGTCTCGGCGGGTGTTCTTTCCCTGTTAGAGAGCACTTAGCTCTCGAACGATACAAATAGAACTTATTCGTACAATCCCTTATTTGATAATTTGGATTTTAGCGACTATAGTATAAATGGTGAGAAAAAAAAAATTTAATCGTCCTGTTTTGCTCAAAATTATTACCGTGCTAAAATACCGTAGTTCTAGTCGTTGTAAATATCCCGAATATGCCACGTACCGCGTACTTATATTAACTAAGAACAGTAAATATTTTTAGCAAGTCATTAATTTTATCACTTCCTTATGTCTGTATGTAAACAGTGTAACTAAAGATAATAAAACTATAAATTATTTAGATGAGCCAGAGGATGTTAAAATAAATCTGTTTAATTTCAGCATAATTATGACTTTTATTATTTTCTTTTATGTTGCATACAAACGTATATTCGATATTTTTAGTTTTAATTAAAATCAAAGGGAAAGTAACATAGGGTCTATCTAATTAATGGTGAAGAGAAAATTGGAATTTCTTAGCAGAGAAGATTTCAGAGGGCGTCAGATCATCTAAATTCAACAGCGTATAAGATTTATAGAAAGACATAAAAACCAGAGGCTAAAATTGGTAGGTCTTTCTCTCCAGTAGGTAATATCATCGGTTGCAACTATTTCCGGACTGCAAGAAAGTAATCTGCGTCAATAAATCAGGGGAATGAACCATGTGGATTCAGCAGCTGTGGGGGGAACTATTTTGACACAGAGAGCCCTGGAGGAGGGGGCGTAGCGACTAAGCTCCGGCTGTTTGTTCCCTTTGCAGCAGGGGAATAAATGGGGGAAACATTCCGATGGTCCATTGATGAGATTCTAGCCCTATAAGGGTCGCAGGTGCTGGGGGAATGACACCGTTGGCCCGACCTATGACCAACCGACCGCTTACAGGGTGCGGTTGTAATGGGAAGAACCATGTCTCCACACTCAATGGAAACCATCTGGTATAGCGTCCATGAGTCGCCCGATTGGCTTCTTAATGTTATTGATGCAGAGTAATAAACGGTAAAATGTTATGATGACGCATTTATATCTCTCAAAATTTTGGAAGCTTTGTTTATTTAGCAACGTTCTGTCGGGGCGTTTAAGGATAACAGACATTTTAAGATTGTTGCATAAATATAAAGAGGTTAAGACAACAGGAAATTTATTTTCTTTGTTTGATCTCCGAGCGGTTCTAGTGATGCAAGCTTTATCAGAAAATAATAGAATGTTATTTATGTCGAATTTGATAGCAAATTTCTGTCAGGGATTACAGTCAAACACTAATTTTATTTGGTTTCGTTCAATGTAGAGATGAATGGCTTCTTTGCAAATATCTTAGATTACGCCAACGCCATCTGTTGGAAAAAAAATTGCAAAATTTTAAGGTGAATCTAAGTCGATGGTACGAACAGTTAATTTTTCCATTTATTTCATAAAAGTCAGATACTATGTTTAAATGGGTTGGATGAAATTAGTAGCCGTTAACATTTTACAGTGAAAGCAAAAATTAAGTCCTCTTCACTGTAAAATAAATGAGTTGAAAGATCAAGTCACAATAATGTAATTTGGGATCGAACATATTCTGCATTCTCCTGTGCTCAAAATATCATTCGGTCGTCTCGACCGATTTTAGAAAATTCAGTATCCTCAGTTTTGATAGATGCATATAAATAATGCTAAGCGCAGTGAGAAGGGGAAAAATTACGTTGACTACAGCGTTATCTTTGAATAATTCATGCCGAAGAGTACATTTATCGAAGGTACATCGGACATTTACAGTGTTAATAATTGAATTACTGTAGTCCTTTCCCTCAAGTGATATCCGTTAGCCTGAGAGGAATGCAACTTGTTTACTCGAAGTTTTCAAGGGTACTTTGCTACTTTACGTTGAATTATAATTGATGAGATTTAATACCAATACAGACTAAGAAATCCGATAGAAATATAAATGAACGGATATAGTGTTTCTACATTTCGCTAATGTTAATAATTAGCAATCAGTTGCTTTAAATTTTTTCTCGTATTTTCGGTGTTAATTTATATCTAAAGATCTGCGGATCGATACATTGGGTTTAATTAATCCTCTGTATTTCTGCTACTCGATGTTCTTTCATTAAAAATATTTTTGAATTTAGTATTATCTCTCTTGAATTATTTTTTAACAATGAGAATTTATATTTAATTTATGACATAATCAAATTTATTTTATTTGACTACAGCTTATAAATAAAATATGAAAATTATTATGCCTATTTTGATTGTTGGTATACGCCGTGTACAAATGTGCCTTAGTCTGCGTAGTACAATTATATATATATATTACATGTAGTATATGATTTTATGAAACTGTATTTGTATTTATTTTCTTATAGGATTTTGAATAATATTATATTATGATCTAGATAATACTTTATAAAGGAACAGTTGCGTGAGATTAGATTGCATTGAATTTTGCCAATATTTTGATTTATCAATTTAAATAAGATGTATTGTGTAAGAATATTGATTTTTTAAGTAAATAATATTGGGTTTATTTATCTCATTTACTCATTTACAAATTTTGTTCAGAATAATTTTTTGAATCTTAATACTATCGTAACTTTTGATATGAATTTAAAGTTTAACACGATAGTAAAACTTATAAATAATATTTAAATATTGAATTTAGAACCACGCATACTGTCTACTGCACATTCTTTCCTTCTAACTTTCTTATTTGCTCAGTTTTTGTGGATATAATGTGAGTTTGGGGAAGGGCAACGAGTAATGTTAGCGATCACCGTCTGACCCCAATCTGTCAATTATCTGTGACCAGATGCCACCTTTCCAAAGAAATGGAAAACAAGTTTAAAAGGTTTTGAATAGAGGAATTATAATGACAAAGTTCGCAAACAACCGCTATACAGCCGGTTGGCATAACCATAATCAAACCGCCATTTTAATAGCTCATGTGGTGAGTCTATTTACCTCCATTTTTGTTTTTTACATTGTTTGTCTCATTGCAGACGAATTTATTTCTGTGGAGAAACCAAAATTCTGATAATTTTCTTCAGAGAGAAACGGACGTTGTTCTTTAGATCCGATGTGAATAATTAGGACAAAGTTGATAATTCAATTTTTACTCTAGAATTTCACGTAAAATTGTATTTTGAAACTGAAATATTAAATTTACATTCACTTTACAAACAGTTACATGCTTATTAGCTACTTTGTAATATGTTTATTTTCTTATTGCAGGTACTCCTGTCAATCGAATACCTATAATGGCCAAACAGGTGTTGGATCTTTACGAACTGTACCGGTTAGTTGTAGCCAGGGGCGGGCTAGTAGAAGTCATTAACAAAAAGATCTGGAGGGAGATTACAAAAGGTCTCAATTTACCCTCTTCCATCACCAGTGCAGCCTTTACTTTACGTACACAGTGAGTAAAGTTTTCGTACCGTATGATTTTGTCCCAAAAATACATATTAATATGGTAATAGACTGACTATAGGTGGATTTTATGCTAATGAAACTTTTCTAAAACTATAAGTTTGTCTTGGGAGTAGTTTAAAAATATTGATGATTATATATATATATATAGCCGGTTATCATATTTGAAAAAAAAGGATCACTTATAAAGAATTCATAGACACATAAATCAGAGTAGAAAATTCAGATACATAAATCAAAAAAGAAAAATGCGAATCGAGAAAAAATGTTTTACTAGGAATGCCGATTATATGAATGAATTTATGTTATTAACATACAAAAAGGATTCATCTCGCTGCCCTAGCCCAATCTCGCCCTCGAGAAGTGAAAAATGACGTTTAACAAGTTAATGTCATATTGTGACTACTACAAATATTTTAGCCATTTTCTGAATGAATAAGAATACCAGTATGAGAACAAAGAATGAAGATTACGCGACATTCAATTTTTACACTTCACAATATATCGATCACTTTTAAATGTATCGATTCTTATATCATTTAAAGCTAATAGTTTCGAAAACTAACGTAAAATTTTTAATTAATTTTAAAAGATTTATCTTCTTTTATCGACCTAG